CCGCGGTGCCCGCCCCGCCAGCCCGGGCCCTACCTGCGGCCGCCGTCGGGGGCGCGGGTCCCCGGCTCTGCGGAGCCGCATGAACAATAGGCGGCGGCGGCTCCTGCGGGCGGCGGCGGCCCCGCACCCTATGGACCGGCCGCTCCATGGAGCCCTCCAGAGCGCTTCTCGGCGGCCTGGCCGCCGCCCCGCCGGGGGAAGCCGGCTCGGGGGCCGCGGCCGAGGACGAGGAAGAGGAGGAGGAGGCGGCTGCGGCCCCCGGGGAGCTGGGCTGCGCGGCGCCGCTGCCCTACTGGACTGCCGTGTTCGAGTACGAGGCGGCGGGCGAGGACGAGCTGACCCTGCGCCTGGGCGACGTAGTGGAGGTGCTGTCCAAGGACTCGCAGGTGTCCGGCGACGAGGGCTGGTGGACCGGGCAGCTCAACCAGCGGGTGGGCATCTTCCCCAGCAACTATGTGACCCCGCGCAGCGCCTTCTCCAGCCGCTGCCAGCCGGGCGCCGAGGACCCCAGTCGCTACCCGCCCATCCAGTGTAAGGCGAAGGCGGGCCGGGCGGGGGCCGGGCGGGGGCGGGGCGGGGACGGGGATGCGGCCGGGGGCGCGGGGGGCGCGGGGGGGACGCGGGAGCCCACCCGCAGGCCCTGCCCGGGACGCGCCCGGGCTGCTTCCCCTCGGCCTGGCCGCCCCAGCCCAGCTCCCGGCTTCCGCACCCCGGAGCGCCGGCGCCCGAGTCTTCACTTTTCCAACACCGTCTCCGTCCCTCTCGCTCCTCCAAATCTGGAAACATTCCGGGCAAGCTGGTGGTGACTGTTTGGACCTTAGTTTTCCCACCGGGGACCTTGCCCGCTTCTTCGGCCACCTGTCCCCGCCCCTGGAAGGTATTTGCTTCAGCAGTGGAGGTGGCTCTCGCGGGGCTGGCTCGTGCACAGGTCCCGGAAGCGTGTGGACTCGGGCCTGCGGTGCTGTTGAAATGTTTCGTTCATTTCTTGGATCCCAGTCCCGTATCTCAGAAGTTGTACTTTTAGGAGGTTCGCAGGAAGGTACTAAGAAAGATGTGGGGCTGGAGAGAAAGGATGAGTGGGGACATTAGAGAAAAGTGTGTTGTGCCCCTGTGAGAGTTCAGTGCTGTGCAGCCCCTTCACAGCTGGACTGTCGGACAATACATTGCCTTCTCACCCAGATCCTTGTCTATATTTGGAATTGGTCAAATCTCTAGGGGGCCGTACCCAGGGTGCCCTCCCAGCGCCTTTCTCCCCTTGTCCTGGTTTTCATCGATTTCCCAGGAGACCCTGTTCCATCTCTGTAATGAAATTTCTTTGTTTTCAAAGGACTTCAGTGACCATTAGAATCCCTTAAATCAATTTTGTTGGGTCTTCTTAGAAGAAAGATATAAATATGTCAGTGCAGTTTACACTAATTTGTATTTAAGAGTTTCCATGATTTCTTTCTGGTAAAAGGCATTGCTAATCTGTACGTATTACTGTTTCATATTTTGTATACTTTGAATTTTAGTTGATTAAAATTATTATCAAGGGCCAGTTTTTAATATTTACTTTTTTTTTTTTTCCGGGAACCAGGGATTGATCTCAGGCCCTTGCGCTTACCAGGCAAGCAGTTATTGTACTGAGCCATCTCCTGGGCCCCTAATATTTACTTTTAAAATTTCATTTGTAGCAGTTGTCGTTCTGGCCCTGTAGTTTGTTTTCACCAAAACAGTTGTGTTACTTTGTTTTAATATCAAATCATATCATAATCATAATCTCCTTCCTTTTCTGCTTTTCTTTTTTGATCTTTTAACTGTCAAATTGATGTTTTATGTGTTTCGTCTGTTTCTTGCCTCTCTTGTTTAACTTAAAACCGCAATATTTTTATCTTTATAATGCTTGGGGGCGGCATCTTACTTTAAGTTGCCTCTGAGCACTGCCCACTGTGTGGCGTGGGTACGTTTGAGATGACAGCCCAGCCAGGGTCCTGGCGCAGTGTTTTGAAGTAGAGTTTTGAAGATGAATTTGGCCATATGTTGTAAGATGTGCAAATCGTCTGCATGGTAGGAAGCAGTTTTAAGTCTTAAGTTGGATGTCAGGGTTCTTTGTGAGGGAAGTTGTGTGGATTTATTTTTAGGGTCTGTTATGTTTGGCTCACGAGCAAGAGTCAGTTTCTTCAGTACCTTAGGAGCCAGGCTGTCGTAGTGTCAGGAGTAAATGGGACTGAGGCTGAGAGAACCTCTGCCCAAGAGCCAGACCTGTCAACAGTATGACGTGTTAGGAGCTCTTTCCCTGGGAGGTGGCCAGGACTTATCCTTATTGTGGCAATGGTTACCTTGATGGAGTGGAATCATAAATCAAGATCCCAGATAACGAGAAAGTCCTACTTTCTTGCAGTAACTGATTTGAAGAACGTGACATTTGCAAGTCCTGCTAAGCACCCCTACCTGGCCTCCCTGGGAGTTCTGGCATTAAAGCCTGAATGGCATTGATTCTTTTTTTTTTTTTTTTTGGTGGTCCTGGGGATTGAACTCATGAGACCTTGAACTTGCCAGGCAAGCACTTATTCTATTGAGCTATCTTCCCAGCAGGTATTGATTCTTGATCATTGAGAAACTTTAATTCCAGACAAAAGTTAACTATTAGATACCTGATAAATGGTAGTACTATGCTAAATACCCATGGTATAAAGCAATTAGATTTGCTTATGAGTTACATGAATGCTATTAATGATGTAAATATAAAATGTTAGCAAAAAAAATAAAAAAAAATAAAATGTTAGCGTGCTACTTTGGCAAAGACAGGCGAGTTTCTGCTTTGTGTCTTCTGTCCTTAAGTTTAGTGTCACTCAAAGTAAAGGTGACTCCGCAAACTTTGTCTCCAGAGACCTGGAATGAAATGGAGTCATCAGCAACTCCAAAATTACTCTCGATTTGCCCTCTGAGGCATGTATTATGTCGTGAACATTCTCGATCCTAAGTAAGAGATGCTAAGTCAAGCAAGAGTATTAGGATTTAGTTTTATAGTATTGTTTTTCAGAATGAAAATTTTGCTTCAGTCTTTATTCAAAACAGTAGGGAAAATTACTAAGTCTTGGGTTAAAGAAAAAAATGTGATTGTGATATTGTAAGCTGTCTTACATTTATGTAGTGACTTTGACCTTTCCAGTGTAGGCATTAGAATTTAGCTGTCTTTATGAATGACAGATATAAATGACCTAGGATTTGTTCATCTTTATTTTAGTGAAAGATAAAAATGTACAGTTCCAAATTTGTTAGCTTGGGAAATATAAACCTACATATTTAAATAGAAAACGATTGTGAAAGATTCTCTTTCAGGAGCATTGTATCTGTTTTCAAATGGGGCATACATTAAGATCATTATTAATTTATACTTTTTCCTACATCCAGGAATATGTAGCAGAGTATTATCAGGTGTAGATAGTATTTTTTTTTCTCTTTTTGTATTTTAGGGAAGGGTCTACAGGGTGTTCAGGGTCTCACTACTAGATCAGACTGGTAGTGATCTGCCTATTTACAGCGTCCCAAGAGCTGGGATTATAGGCGTGCGCCACCACCTCCAGTCTCAATTGCAGTCTCAGCATGCCACGGGGGCGGGGCTGGCATGGCAGGCCCAAGGATAGAACCCCCGGCTCCGGTGCCTGCTTGCAGGCGCTTTAATCTGCTGAGCTATTTGGCTGGCCCTAGGTAGTATTTTAAAATGAGAAATTACCATGCAGTTGCACAGAATCCTCTAGAACATGCTTACATACTCAGCTTTGAAACATACACTTGAGAGGAATAACATCTTGACTCTAAAAATGAAATCAGATTTTATTCCTGGAAACATCCTTCCATTGAAAAGTGGGCTGAATGCAGGTTGACCCGATTCTTCTTAAAACCAGGTCTTGACTGGAACAGACGAAGGAGAACCTGGTGCCTTACTTTCTACTTGTAGGGACTTCATAGCAAGAAAGGAAAAATAAATTCTCTTAGCTCCTTTCCTGGCTTCTGTCTTTTATATATTTGGAATCTGTGTTCTGTTTTCTTGACGATTGGTCCTAATAGTTCCTTAACCCAGGAGAAGCCCAGGCCTTTGTTCTCCCCAGACGGGGACAGTGTTGGCCCCTTCAGCAGTTTCCCTTATGAGTGTGAAGTGCGGTTGGAGGAGCTGTCCTTTCAGCACCCAAGTCCTCAGTCAGGTTTTCTAAGCCCTCCTGCATGTTAATAAATAGTGAAGGCCTACTGTGTGTTGGCAGCTATGCTTCAGATCAGAGGGAAGTTGGGAGAATATAAGAAAAAAATGTAGCAGTTAATTCCCTTCAGTAGAGTTTGAAGATTCAGTTGAGGAATAAGATAATAAATACAAATTTATTGAAGAGACACATAGCCTTTCATCAATGTAAATGTTTGTAGGGAGGAAAAGAGAATATGCCTTTCTTGCATGATGAAAAAGACTCAACGTGATATATATATTTCTCCAAGAAGATTTTTAATCTCTCTTTAGTGTCGATGTTCTTGGCATATTTTTCTCATTCATGTAGAGGATAGGCAAAAATTAGTAATCAGTCAGGAATTATTTTTAAGACTTGGAAGCAGTGAAGGCATTTTAAACAAGAAAGCGATTTAGAGGCTGAGGGAAGAAGCTTCACCTGAACCTCTGGTATGATCTCCTACAGCACTGCGAACTGGCTACTGGGTGAGCTGCTATCTCTCTAATTGGCAGGGTACAGAATCTGCAGCTGCCACGCGAGATGTCGACTTCGAGAATGTCATACTATATCAGCAGCTCTGAGGTTGGGCAGCTGCTCACAGTGTGACGTTTCCCATCTGTGGCTCGAGGGGTGCTTTTGCAGATGGCCATGCTGCCAGGAGGAGCAGCGAGGAGATGGGGCCCCTGTTGCTTCTGCCTTACAGTTCTTGTGGATACATGTAGTTGGCAGAACTTAATTGGCACCTAGAACTCTAGCTTTAAGGGAACCTGGGCAAGGTACTTTCTAGAGTTTTCTGTCTTCTGATACTGAAATTCATGGTAGAAGGATTTGGAGATGGAGTCTCCTAGTTTGCTATGACATCATTTTATTTGGGAAGATTGCCAGACATAGTAATAACCTTTCTCTTCTCTTTCTCTCCCTCTTCCTGTCTCTCCTTCTTTTTCCCTCCCTCCCTCCTTTCATCATGCTAGGGATTGAACCCTTGCACTAAACAAACATTCTAACACTGAATAGTACCACCTGCCCCAAGATGATAGCCTTTTTAACAATTGAAACTTTGGGGGTTAAGATGGACTCTCCTTATATACCTAAAGATGTTTCATCTAACTGTTCCTGTAAAACACAAATGAATGTTAGCCCCAGATAGGACAGAAGCACTATAATTAAGCAAGAACAGATTTTTGAGCACCACCAGAGCCTGAGTGAAGAGCGTGGGCATCAGAGGCTGGCCAAGTAAGGGAAGGAACAGCCAGCAGTGGGCAGCTCCTCTTTTGGTCTTGGCAAAAGTTTAGAAATCTATCTTTGTTTCCTTAGTCTATGAATAAAGTGTTATTATTTTCTGTATTTATTTCAGTAGGCCCAATTCACTTTCATTTTCAGATCTGAAATTTGTTTTATTTTCTGTTGAGATAGTTTCTTTTGTTTCAGTGACCCATTGATCACTTAGTAATCATTTGGCCTGGTGAGTACAGTGGTGAAGAAGGCAGAGAGTGTTTACCCTTGTGGCTGTCACAGTCAAGCAGATCAGCAGGCAATGATCAAGTAACTAAGTGATTGGAACCTTCGTGAGTCTGGAGATCGCTGTAAGATATTCAGTTGAGGGGAGACCCTGACTTCATTTGGTCTGGGTGTTAGGAGGAGCTCTTCTGTGCAGTTGACGTTTAAATTGAATACCTGTTGTCTTTTTTTTTGGCGGTACTGGGGATTGAACTCATGACCTTGAATTTGCCAGGCAAGCACTTATTCTACTGAGCTATCTCCCCAGCCCTTTGACATTTAAATTGAGACCTGAGGGCTGAGTCTGAATCAGCTGGGGGAAGACAAAAGAAGACTGAGGACAGAGAACGGGTTTCATGAGCGAAATGTAAAACAGCGCTTTACTCCTATAACATTCGATATCATATATAGCCTAACCTTCCTCATCACTGGCAACTGCTATTTTCTGTACGTGAAAGCCTTTTCTTTTTTTTGGTGGAACTGGGGATTGAACTCAGGCCCTTGCACTTGCCAGGGAAGCGCTTATTCTACTGAGCCATCTGCCTGGCCCCCATGAAAGCCTTTTCAAACCTTAATCAGATACCTTAGGCCCAGACTCTGGATTTGAGATGAGTGAGTGGTTAGGTTAGTATTGGATGCATCAGGGGCTCAGCTGGGGCACTGCTGGGATTCGGTGTTTCCTGAGGGCTCCTTCCCCGTGTATCTCCGTTGGCAAGTCCCAGTGAGACCAGCTCTGGAAATCTCCTAGGCTGACTGGGCAGACCTCTGGTTGTATTTCTGCGAAATCTTTTTCCAAGCTGCCGTGTGGCTGTTGTTTGTGTTGGTACTGAGTTGTGTATGTCTCACTACTAAATACTCAGTAAAGTTGAGGAAACCACACAAAGGACCCCCTTTAATTAAAATGGTTGGTCTTGAGGCAGGGTTCCAACTGGGCTTTGTTTTATGGATATGAATGGAGCGCCACTAAGGAGAATGGGAATGAAATAAAGTGAATTACAGTGTCTGACCTTTTTGTTTTCAGTTTATAATGGAGAGATAAAAAAACCCAATGAATAAACAGTTTGCTGTGTTTACCCTTCCAAGTAGGTGGATGGCTTAAGTGGTGTTTTCTGGGTGTTTTTGACTCACTTCTTTTTTCTTGTTTCTCAGTGTTAGAAATTGATTTTGCGGAGCTAACCCTGGAGGAGATTATTGGCATTGGGGGCTTCGGAAAGGTCTACCGTGCTTTCTGGGTAGGGGATGAGGTTGCGGTGAAAGCAGCGCGCTATGACCCTGACGAGGACATCAGCCAGACCATCGAGAATGTTCGCCAAGAAGCCAAACTCTTTGCCATGTTGAAGCACCCCAACATCATTGCCCTTAGAGGCGTTTGTCTGAAGGAACCCAACCTCTGCTTGGTCATGGAGTTTGCCCGTGGAGGGCCTTTGAATAGAGTGTTATCTGGGAAAAGGATCCCTCCAGACATTCTGGTGAACTGGGCCGTGCAGATTGCCAGGGGGATGAACTACCTGCACGATGAGGCCATCGTTCCCATCATCCACCGCGACCTGAAGTCCAGCAACAGTGAGTGTGCGGAGCTGGGTGGGCCTAGAGCAGTTTAGGCAGGAGGAGTTCCCGGGGAGCATCAGAGCGTCGCTGGGTGATGCTGCCTCGTCGAGCGAAAACGTAGGGCTGGGCTGGGCTGAGTGCCCGGAAGAATTGGTTTAGGGAGGGAAGAATGAGGCACAGTGGGGGTTTTAGGATAATTCTGAACTCACATGATTAGGCAGGGCTGGTGGTATGTAATTATGATATTCTGTATGAAAATGTAGATTGATTTTCCTTTGAAGGGAAGTGTGTTTGTAATCACAGGGAAGGGTTTTCCTCTTTGTGAGGTAGCAGTTAAAACTAACTTACATACGGTCTGAATGTCTATTACCCCTCAACGGGAGGTGCCCTGTGGAGTCGGGCGTCAGAGGCGGAGCAGGTTGTTTAACCTGGAACCCAACGCAGGTGGTGATGTCAGTCCGGAGAGCGTGACATGGCTTGGTAGAGTTACAGAGTTCCCAGTTGCCCTGGAGTGCTATTAATTAATCCCATAACTACCTGAGGTTTAATAGCAGACAACTAAGAAGTAATTGTTTTTATTAAACACTCAGAATCTATAAACTGGCCAGTAAAGAAAGTGTTAGATATAATTAGTGAGTCTGTAGACATTTCGGTCTTTCTCTTGAGCTGAAATAGAAGTACTGGAATATGCTTCATTTGTGAAATGACTTGTACTTTCCTGTCTGAACTGACTGTAGCAAGATTACAGACGCTTAGAGTACATGCTTAAGATCACACTGGCAAGGGCCCGCAAGGTAGCTCAGTGGACTGAGCTCCTGCTTGGGCAAGTGCAGGGGCCAGGGCTCGATCCCCGGCTCCACATACTGTGCCAGTCATGCCCCCAGGTGCGCTGTGCAGGCCACGGAGTCTGGGCATGGTGATGCTTGCCTGTAATCCCAGGGCGAGCGGGGCTGAAAACAGCAGGGTCGCTACGAGTCTGAATTGTGTAGTGAGACACTGTACCAAATACATTAAAAAAAAAAAAAAAAAAAGCACATTGCTATCCTGTGTTAGAGGAGGACAGGAGAGGAAGAAGGACTTTGGAGTTGGGGCAGCACTCTACTCTCTTTGCATTCTTTAGCTTTAACTTAGAAACCTTTTAGGCCTTGCTTTAGTCCTGGCTGTTCCCATGTGGCTTATTTTCTGTTGATGTTATTGTAAATCTGTTCATTTTTAAAAAACTTACTTTGAAAAATGTGCAATTTTTTTTTGAAAAATGTGAATTTTGAAGTTATGTAAGTAACATTTATTTTAGAAAAGTTAGCATGATCAATAGAAGAGAAAATTGACCTACAGTGTTTTCCTTTAGAGAAAACATAGGATGTATCCTTCTGGGCATTTTTAAATATCGATCTCTATATATGTACATTTATTTTGTATTTAGTACAGTGTCTACATGGTCTCACTACACAGATCAAACTCATAGTGATCCTCCTGTTTTCAGCCTCCCAGGTGCTGGGATTATAGGCGTGTCCACCACGCCCAGTCTCAGTCTCAGTCTCAGTCAGCCCTGGGGGTGAAGCTGGCATGGCATATATTTTCCAACTTAGAATAGCTTTTTGCATCTTCTACCTGCATGCTCTGGTCCCTTAAAAATAGAGAACTTGTACCTTTCAAGAGGGTGAAATGTTATGTATGTATTTTACATATGGTACATAAGAGGATTGAAGTTATATAAAATAAAATCTGGTTTCTCTTATTTCCTATGCCATTATTTTATCTCTTTATCATGTGATTGTTCTTGTCCTTCATCTAAAAATGTATTCCTTAAATGTGTTAAATTCACCTTAGGTGACCTCCTCAGAGTACTTTTTACCTAGAGATTGTTTTGGATGGTGGGTTAGAAACAGCAGAAGTGTTGATAGAAATAAAATTTTCTTTCTTTTAAAAATCCTTATCATGCTGAGAAAACCAGGCAAAGTGCTGTAATGTTGCATAATTGAGCCCATTTAGAAAGCATAGTTGGGATAATAGAATTGTAAATGTCTGTTATTTCCTTGATGAAGTTTCAAAGTTGAGTGTAATTTCAAGTTTTACCTTTTACAAGATTTATCTTTGGGAATCTAGATCCTTGTGAAGAAAAAGATCCCTTACCAAAGTTCTTTGTAGGAGAAGGTACAGGACTTCATGTCACTTTTTATCCAGGAGACAGTACTCAAAAATGAGTTTTAGGGTTTCCAGGGATAGTGTAGAGACAGTAGTAGATTCCTGCAGTAGGGCAGTGTTTTAAAGGACTTGTGGTGCACATCTATAATCTCAGAAATATAGAGTCTGAGCAGGAGGTTTGCCTGTTCAAGTCCTGCCTAGGTAACTTGAGACCCTGTCTCAAAATAAACAATAAACAGAGTTCAATGCAGAAAGGCTCAAGGCTCAATCCCCAGTACCACAAAAGAAAGAAAGAAAGAAAAAGATATGGCCAGAATTGTGCATGGTACGTTGGATTGTGTGGTGGTATTGCCGTCAGTTTGCCCGTAAGTCTTAAGTGAGAGTTAGGGGGCACCTTGATGGCAGTCTGGATGGAGGCGTGCCTGGCACTGTGACACCCAGCAGGAACCCCGTGGGCGCAGGCCTTCTTTTTTCATCGTAGCATGTGCGTGATTTGGGGGTCGCTTTTGCCATTGTCTCCAGTTTGGGAGTAGTAACTTCTTTGTGTTTTATAGACTAGGGGATGCTGGCCTCTTTGGTTTGGTTTTCATTAGGGGATCTAGAGAGTTGGAATTCAGTTACTGTCATGTTAGGGCAGAATACATATTGGGGATTATGTTAGTTGATTTTGAACTAATAGAGAATGTGTGTGTGTGTGTGTGTGTGTGTGTGTGTGTTGTGTGCTTTCTGTGGGAAAGAGAAAGGAACTGGTGATAAACATCTTGCAGTCAGTTATAAAGTCTTAATAAAAAGTGATTTATAAAAGAAATTTTATTACCCTGGCCACCTACTTCAGGTAGTCATTTGCTCTTTACTGGTAGTGAAGTGCATGTTGCACATAATAGCCTACGTTGATATACAATCTGCGTTATGCTTAAGTTTGACTGTATAATGTAAGAAATGGCAGTAAATAAAGCTGTATAGATTTATTTTTGCAAAGGAGTCTAGCAGGTTTAGGGTGGCTCCCGGTGTCGTCTAGGGCCCCAGGCTTCTGTTCTGCATTCGGTCACTGCGGTGCATACAAGGCTTGTGTTCTCCCTGCCAGCTTTGAGTCTGAGGTGATTTCCGGATCACTGATAATTTGATCCTAGAA